TCCGACCCTCGGATCAAAAACTCACTATCGGACCGGAAACTTCAAAAATTCAAACTTCGGCATTTCAAGCCTAAATGAGCTACGAACTTCCAAAATACATTCCGAACACGCTCCCAACCCTGAAATCACCTAACGGAGCTAACGGAACCATCAAATTTCCATTCCGAGGTCGTCTTCACACTACTTCGACTGCGGACCATTTTTCAACACTTAAGCTCTCATTTAGGGACTAAGTGTCCCAAAACTCTCCGAAACCCAACACCGAACGTCCCGACAAACCAAAATAGCAGAATGAACTTAGGGGAAGCAGTAAATAGGGGAAGCAGTAAATAGGGGATCGGGGCGTTAATTCTTAAGACGACCGGCCAGGTCATCACATATATTCGATACAACATTACCTAATACACTTATACTTAGTGCATAGTATAGCGTAAGTGTATATATATATATATATATATATATATATATATATATATATATATATATATATATATATATATATATATATATATATATATAAAAGTTATATTCGATATAATTTTACCTAATACACTTATACTTAGTGCATAGTATATCGTAAGTATATATATTATATATATATAACCTATATTCGATATAACATTACCTAATATACTTATACTTAGTGCATAGTATAGCGTAAGTGTATATATATATATATATATATATATATATATATATATATATATATATATATAGATATATAGATATATAAGCTATATTCGATATAATATTACGTAATACACTTATACTTAGTGCATAGTATAGCGTAAGTGTATATATATATATATTGATATATAGACGCACACGCACGCTTCGTAGTACTATTCATCCCTTGTATTACAAAAGTGTTAACAGCTAACATTTATATTATTTATTTAGTAAATACAAAAGTAATTTTTAATTTTGACCAATGGTGACCTAAATAGCGACCAACTTTGGTCGCTAAACATACATAATTTTAAATTAGGGACCCAAGTTGGGCGCTAAATTTAAATCAGATTTATTTATCTTCCATATAATTTTTAAAATATTAACTGGGTCCCAGTTTGGCGACCACAGTTGGTCTATATTCTACTGAGCAACCAACATTGGTCCCCTAAGTTGAATTATATTTATTTATATTTTATAATTTTTTTTAAAAAAATTATAATTATTAAAATTGTATAACTGGGTCCCAAATTATCGACCAAAGTTGGTCTCCATCTATTTACTCTTTATATAGCGACCAACTTTGGTCGCTAATTTTAAATTTTATTTATTTATATTTTATTATTTTTTAAAAATAATATTATAATTATTAAATTTCATAGTGGGTCCCATGGAGCGACCAACGTTGGTCGCTAATGTGAGTAATTCTTTGACCAAGCAAGTCTGACCAGTCCGGTCAACAGTTTGACAAAATTTTCGACCAAGTGGCGACCAACGTTGGTCGCTAATTTATTTAAAATCATTATTTTATTATTTTCACCAGTTTAGCGACCAACTTTGGTCGCTTTTCTTGACAGACCAACGTTGGTCGCTAAACTTTGGTCGCTTTTTGCAGGAATTCTAGTAGTGTAATGTCTATTTTTTTCACTTGAACAAATCATAGCATAATAAGGGGAAAATAAACAGAAAAATAAGGAAAAGACAAAGGATAGTTACTAATTTACTATATGCACACACAGATACACACTCTTCATGTAATGTAATTTTTCACTTGCAAAATAAAGGGAAAAGAAACAGAAAAATAAGAAAAAGACAAAGGATAGTTGACAAACAAAATTATTTTATTGGGATTGAAGTGTCAGCGTAATATTTGTAAGTTTACCGACATAACTAATAATCCACCATTTAGGAATAGATTCTAATTTTAGGACGACTTCTCATTTATATCTTTTTTTCTTCTTCTAATTTTTATTAGTTTATTTATTTAGAATTATAAGTTATATCTCAATCTCAAATAAAATTGAATTTAATAGATTTTTTCAACCACCAAAAAATATTGTAAAATATATGAATTTCTCTGCTTTAATCAGAAGCGGCAAAATTTATAAAAATAGACAGAGGCGTTGCCTTTTCAAATGTGTCCTACGCTGTAAATTTTATTTCCTGAATATGCTATATAAATTCCGTTATCAACTCACGTGACCAAATCCACATCACTGATCTCCATACTTCCACCTCATTTCCCGCGAATCCAATCAACACGGTTTCATCCTTACGTTTTCCTCCACGTGTCATCTCCCACGTGAAAAACAAATTACTTTTTTATTTCCAAAATCCTAAGCCGTTAAATTCTCAGCCGGACCCTCCTTTTTCATTTCCTACTTTCTTCCCCCATTGGAGAAAGAGAAGAGGAGAACACACCAATTTCTTCTCGAAGCCCTAGAAATTATCAATCCGACCGGAGAAATGATTAATTTCAGGCCGCCGGAGACGAAGACGAGGTCGTCTTTAGGTTCGAGTTCGTCGGTCGTCACGGCGGAGAAAGCGTTGTCATTCATCTCGAAAGGATGGCAAGAGGTAAGATCATCAGCGGACGCGGATCTTCAACTCATTAAAAACCGAGCGAGCTCGTTTAAGAACTTAGCGGACCGAGAACTGGAGAATTTCATAAATTCTGCTTCGAAATCGCCCTTCACTGTTCCAACAATTACGGCATCTGCCACTACCACGCCGGCGGAGATTGAATTTGTGAAGAAGCTCCGTCCCAAGCTCTCGGAGATTCGTAGGGCTTATTCCTCGCCGGAATTCAAGTGGCCGGCGCAGGGGAAGCTCCGGATTGATTTGTCATCGATAAAGAATGTGATTGTGGCGGAAGTGGAAGAGGAGGAGGAAGATGAGAGAGAGAGGTGGAGGAAGTGGAGGAGAGAGAGGTTTAAGGAAGAAGGGCAATTTGGGGAATTTAATTGGGAGCCAATTAAGGCTTTCAAGACTCGGTTAAGGGAGCTAGAGGTGGATCTAAAGGGCGGCTCCAGTTCGTCGCCGGTGGATATTTTTGAAGGGATAAAGAATAGTGAATTCGTGGTGAAAGTAAAATCAAGCTTGGTAATTTTATTTGCTCTTATTATCATGCTTTACTATGGAAACTTATTTATGGTGTTCATTCATGGACTAAAAGCATAATTGCTTGTAGTATTGCAATTTTGCTTGTAGTGTTTTAGCTTCGATTTACCATCACTGATGAAATGATTTGCTATTTTTGTAAAAAAAGAAAAAGGAATCTTGGACGAGTATAGTCCTCTTCTTCTGTTTTGATTTGTCAAATGATCTGTTTTACTCTGATATATGGTAGGTGTTTGGTTTTGAAGAATGATCTGTTTTTGCTAGCTGTTATGAGCTGCTACTCCGTGACAGTAACAAAGTATTTCAATAGCAAGCTAATCGCCTCTTCTCCCAAAACAATAAATCCTAAGAAACCTCTTATTCATCAGAGGAATGGAGTTGAGTTTCGTTCTTCAATTTTTTACCACAAGTAATCCTAAACAGGATTGTATATGTTTTAAGGCGGTGCTAAAATTCACATTGTTATCTTTGCATTTGAGATTCCATTTGTTCCTCTAGCACTAAAGATGCTTTTTAAAAAAGTAAAATAGAGCATTAAAGACCACCCCTCTGTGGTTCTTTTCTTCAACCCTTCTCTTGCTGTATGAGAAATACTGTGTACTACGATTCATTATTATCTGATATGCCTTCTCCAGGTAAAGTTTTAAAAGTATTAATTGGATGGTAGGATCACTTAGTAGGTTAAAAGTATTAATTGTATGGTAGGATCACTTAGTAGGTTAGATGTTGCAATTCTATCTCCTTTTCAGGATAAGCGCTTCTGCCTCGTTAGGTGGTACATATTTTTCTCAGATGTGCTAGATATTTTCTTGTTACTTTATTCCTTTTTTTTAAACTTCCATTTTTGTGGGTTAGTGTGCTAATGGTGGAGTTGGTTTTTCCATAGGTTGTAGCATCTTCATGCTAGTAATTTCTGGAAATCTAACTTTGGGTTACGGGATTTGGTCAAATGTTGGTGGTTTCTTTTTTTATGAAACTTAGTGTTTAATGTTATACATGAGTACTTCGGGTCGCAATGGGAGGTCAAGCTTGGATTTATTCAACTTGTTAGGCATGGACCATGGGTCTCCTTATTTTAGATCTTTTAGTTCTTTCCTTCTGTCTCTCGATTCCTTTACCATTATGTGTTTTCGTTTACTTATTANAAACTGACCTTGTATGGTTTTAATTTGGATGTATATGGCGAATGGGGAAGATGCGTCATGAAGTACAGAGTATAGCAAAGAGGTTAAATCTCAATGTCAACTTCGATGAAAGGTAGAGACCATGCAGATGATTCTCTTCATGGGTAAGAATCCTTCAGTAGGACTTTTTACTAATGAAGAATGTAGTTGTTACAACAAATAGACATTATTTAGTACATCTTGTTCCATTTTGGTGCGATCATCTATAAAGCATCATTAAGGAATTTTAATGGAACTGACAATATTAGCATTCTGTTTCCCTGTGGCACAATGATTTTAGAATTACTGTTAATTTATCAATGAGATATTTGTATGATCAGCTATGTGCTAACCTGAAGAGTTATTGAGCACATGTTCTACCTGATTTTTGTTAAGATGTAGAGTATAGGACAGATATACTCATCCGAGGGATTTCAGTTCTACTTGGCGGACCATAAAGGATCAATTTGGACATTTTCTCATGATATGTATGGATAAAAGCACTATCTTTATGATCAGAGCCTCATTTTTTTCTATTTATATGTCAATCTATCAACTACATTCACTGAGCAAGCAAAGTGCTTTTTGGATTGAAATCATGTATTGATACCTGAGAAGAAAAAGTACACAGGTGCAAAATTAGCCCTCAACTATTAAGTGGAGCGCAAAAGNGAAGTATAGAGAAAACTAGGAGAGATACATTTCTTTGATGTCTTTTCACGATAAAGAAGATATCATTTTCCTTTGATAAGCGAGAGGAGGAATCATTTTCCTTTCACTTTCTCTTATTTTTCACTATTCCAAACAAGAGAAAGCACAAGCAGTTCTCTTATTTTTCTCTTCATTTCCTTCTATATTTTCTCTTCCAATGTAGCCTCCTTCTCCAAAACTCTTCATTGTTGCGAATTTAATTGGGAATCGATGAAATGAATATTCAAAATGAACTATTCTTTCTTTTCATGTATACAAGTTGGACTACATGTCAACAGCACAACATGTCTGTTCTTGGATTTTAACCTTTTATTAATTCATATTTTTTAAACTAGGAACTAGTCACTGAGGGTTAAATTGTTGGTGAAGTTAAACTAGGATGAAATTCATTTCTAGTAGATTGAAAGCAATTAGACTAGAAAGATTTTCTTTCTCTTATTTCTATGTTCATCTACGCAGGGGGTGCCACCACTTGATGTGCCAGAATTGTTAGCATATTTAGTTAGACAGTCGAGCCCATTTTTGGATCAAATTGGAATAAGAAGAGGTAATATTTCATTTTTCAGTTACAAATTAATTAGTGTGGCTTGTCTTTTTTTTTTTTTTTCCTACTTTCTGTTTGCAATACTTTTTCTTTGGAAGGCTAAATATTAAATATTTGTTCTGTTTTCTGTACTCAAGCTGTGCATATAGTCTGCGTTAATGTTCTTTATTTTTCTTTTCCTTTTTTGATGCCTAGTCTATTTAATCTGTTGAAGGTACAAGCATAAACTGAGCTTTGCTTTCTTTTTTATTTTGTTCTAATTGTTAAATTAATTTTAAATGTCTATCTGTCTTTAGACACTATAAGCCATCTTCTCTGGGTCTTTATTTTGTTTGCAGATATATCAGAAAAGATTGTGGATAGTTTATGCAGCAAAGGACGAAGCAAACTTTTGCTACATTCCTTACCCGAAGGAGGGTCCTCACTGACTGATGGTGAAATTATGAATGATGAACTAGATTTAAGAATTGCCAGTGTTCTTCAAAGTACTGGTCATTGTTATGAAGGTGGATTTTGGGGAGATTCTACCAAGCAGAACCTATTAGGTGATAAAAGGCATGTAGCAATAGTCACAACTGCTAGCCTTCCTTGGATGACGGGAACTGCTGTAAATCCTCTATTCCGAGCGGCTTACTTAGCCAAATCAGAAAAGCAGAATGTTACATTGCTGGTTCCATGGCTATGTAAATCCGACCAAGTGCTAGTTTATCCAAACCAGCTTACTTTTAGTTCTCCTGAAGATCAGGAGCTTTATATACGCAATTGGCTCGAGGAGCGAATTGGTTTCAAGGCAAACTTCAAGATTTCATTTTACCCTGGGAAGGTAGTCCCTGATTAACAATCTAAATAAACTATACTATGATACAGCGAAGATGTTGAGACGGATGTGATCATTTGACGCACGTTTTTTTCCTTCCAGTTTTCCAAAGAAAGGCGGAGTATAATGCCAGCTGGAGACACTTCTCAGTTTATCCCTTCAAGAGATGCCGATATTGCAATTTTAGAGGAGCCAGAACATCTCAATTGGTACCACCATGGCAAACGTTGGACTGATAAATTTAACCATGTTGTTGGCATCGTCCACACAAACTATTTGGAATATATCAAGAGGGAAAAGAATGGGGCTCTTCAGGCATTTTTTGTGAAACACGTTAATAATTTGGTCAGTAGAGCATATTGTGACAAGGTATGTTAGTCTATGGACTAAATTTTCCATGGTAAAAGGAGATCAAGGGAAACAGTTGGTACATACATTACACATTAGAAGATGCTTTAACTCTGCATTTAAGCACCATGTCCTCTTATAATCTTAAAGCACCCTGCGTGTTATTTCTTGTTGGTCCTAATTGAGATGTCAATTTTGCTGTTTAGGTTCTTCGCCTTTCTGCTGCTACACAGGATTTACCCAAGTCCTTGGTCTGCAATGTTCATGGTGTCAATCCAAAGTTTCTGAAAATAGGAGAAAAAGCAGCTGCAGATAGACAAAGCGGCCAGCAAGTGTTCTCTAAAGGAGCATATTTCTTAGGCAAAATGGTTTGGGCGAAGGGATACCGGGAGTTGATAGATCTGTTAGCAAACCACAAAACTGACCTTGATGGTTTTAATTTGGATGTATATGGCAATGGGGAAGATGCTCATGAAGTACAGAGTATAGCAAAGAGGTTAAATCTCAATGTCAACTTCATGAAAGGTAGAGACCATGCAGATGATTCTCTTCATGGGTAAGAATCCTTCAGTAGGACTTTTTACTAATGAAGAATGTAGTTGTTACAACAAATAGACATTATTTAGTACATCTTGTTCCATTTTGGTGCGATCATCTATAAAGCATCATTAAGGAATTTTAATGGAACTGACAATATTAGCATTCTGTTTCCCTGTGGCACAATGATTTTAGAATTACTGTTAATTTATCAATGAGATATTTGTATGATCAGCTATGTGCTAACCTGAAGAGTTATTGAGCACATGTTCTACCTGATTTTTGTTAAGATGTAGAGTATAGGACAGATATACTCATCCGAGGGATTTCAGTTCTACTTGGCGGAAAAATTTCTTTTTCTTGTAGAGGGTTAGATACCTAATGAACAAGGTTATTTTTATAAGGCCTTGAACTTTTTTCTCTGCATCTCCTATTAATACTGAATGCATTTTTTTGTTTTGAGGATTTTTCATTGACGTGATACTATTACTAGATCTTAAGATTAATTAACGATGTTGAGTGCAGACCACTTGCTGCCTTTTGTTGATGCTAGTAGTTGATTTTTCCCATTTTCTTGTTCCCTGTTTGATTTGTTACAGTTCAGCTTCTGAATGTACATATTTTTGCTTGCAGTTACAAGGTTTTCATAAATCCTAGTCTCAGTGATGTGCTTTGTACTGCCACGGCCGAGGCTCTTGCAATGGGGAAATTTGTAGTCTGTGCAGACCACCCATCAAATGAGTTTTTCCAGGCATTCCCGAATTGCTTGACTTATAGGACACCTGATGACTTTGTCTCAAAAGTTCAAGAGGCAATGTCCAGCGAACCTCAACCTCTCACTCCCGAGGAGCAATACAAGCTTTCATGGGAAGCTGCTACCCAGAGATTCATGGAATATTCCGACCTCGATAAGGTTTTGACTAGTGAAACAAGTTTGTACAGGAGACGTCAGAAGGGCATGGGAAAATCAGTTTCCATGCCAAACCTAGCAGAGATGGTAGATGGGGGTCTGGCGTTTGTTCACAATTGTTTCACGGGGAACGAGTTCTTGAGGTTATGTACTGGCGCAATACCTAGATCTCGGGATTATGACCAGGAGCATTGCAAAGATCTCCATCTCTTGCCTCCTCAGGTAGAAAACCCAATATATGGCTGGTAAATAGATATGTAACTAACATGTATATCATTATTTCTAAAATGTATAATAGGATGTCATGCAAACTGGATGATAATTCTTAGCTCCAATTCTAAAGGTCTAGGTCTTGATGCTTTCTAGCTGTTGATGCAGTTAAACCTGCAGGGTAGTTTATAGGATCATACGTAAAGTTTGTAACCTGTAATAGTCATACCTTCTGTCTCTCTTTAGCTATATGCTTGAGTTTCAGGTAAGTGTACCGGATCTACTCCATATTTAGAATTAATAGTCCAAATTCGTCTACGAAGTTGGAAAATTTCCAACAGCTGAAGCAACTGCTCACTTGTACTATGCTTGTACGACTATTATGTGGTTTAAGACTTTAGACTGTAGCAGCATGGAAGTTACTCTAAATTACTTGCCACTTTTTTGCATAATGTCTTGATTATTTCTGTGGGCTGCTTTGTTTGAGAATTGGGGCATTTGCATCTATACTCGCTTTTTGTGCCACATTTTAACCTGTGCCCGCTTTGCAAAACAAATTGCAAGCGTACCCGCTTTTTCACATAACTTCAGCACACAGGGCTGAAGTAGCAAAGGCAATTACACAAAACTTCAGCATTTTAGTGGCCGGTCCTGAAGTTCAGCTCTAGAGCTGAAGTTTTTTTTTTAACTCGCGAACTTCGTTTGCCAGTTATAAAATAAAACTTCAGCTCTAGAGCTGAAGTTTTTGTTTAGTAACCCGGAAACATCAGCTCTAGAGCTGAAGTTTTCAAGTTATAAAATAAAAACTTCAAGCTCTAGAGCCTCTAGAGCTGAAGTTTTGTTNTATAAAAAGAGCTGAAGTTTTTGTTTAAAGGGAAGCTGAAGTTTTTTAAAAAGTGGGTACGGATGCAAACAAAAAGACAAAGCGGCTACAGGTTAAAAAGGGGCGCCCAAATAGGGCGCCCCGTGCAATTTTTACGAGTGGGGCATTTGCATCTATACTCGCTTTTTGTGTCATATTTTAACCTGTGCCCGCTTTGCAAAAAAAATTGCAAGCGTACCCGCTTTTTCACATAACTTCAGCACATGGGGCTGAAGTAGCAAAGGCAATTACACAAAACTTCAGCATTTTAGTAGCCGGGCCTGAAGTTCAGCTCTAGAGCTGAAGTTTTTTTTTTTTAACTCGCGAACTTCAGCTCTAGAGCTGAAGTTTGCCAGTTATAAAATAAAAACTTCAGCTCTAGAGCTGAAGTTTTATTTTATAAGTTTTTGTTTAGTAACCGGGAAACTTCAGCTCTAGAGCTGAAGTTTGCCAGTTATAAAATAAAAACTTCAGCTTTAGAGCTGAAGTTTTTGTTTAGTAACCCGGAAACTTCAGCTCTAGAGCTGAAGTTTTCAAGTTATAAAATAAAAACTTCTAGCTCTAGAGCTGAAGTTTGCTAGTTATAAAATAAAAACTTCAGCTCTAGAGCTGAAGTTTGCTAGTTATAAAAAGAGCTGAAGTTTTTGTTTAAAGGGAAGCTGAAGTTTTTTAAAAAGGGGGTACGGATGCAAACAAAAAGACAAAGCGGCTACAGGTTAAAAAGGGGCGCCCAAATAGGGCGCCCCGTGCAATTTTTATGAGTTTATTGCAGCTCCTAGGATAAAATAGTAGAATTTGCACCAGCTATCCACTTTTGCAGGTGCTTTTTAAAACATAGCCAGTTGTTTCTAGGTATCTAATTAAGCTTGAAGAAGGCAAACTTCAGACCAGCGCTTTCTTCTTCTTCGTCAGACCAACGGAAAACACCACAGTACACTTGTTTGCCAAAATCAAAACCAGAAAAAGAAAAGGAAATTAAATCAAGATATTGGTGAAAAAACTAAGGATGGTTAGAACTTTAGACCATGCGTCTGAAGAGCAACAATAACAGTTCAAAAAGTTCAGACCCTCAGGCGGAAGTCGGAAGTTTTTCAAACTTCAGCCTTAATGTCTGAAGTTGTAAACTGGTCAAGCTGAACTAAAGATCCAAAGTTTGAACTGCCATTCAAACTTCAGACTAGTGGTGTATAAAAGAAACCGACAAATCGCATCAAACCGATAATCCGAGTCAAACCGAGGAAAAAAAAACTCACTATGGTTTGGTTTGATTTGGCTTGGTGTTGGGAAAAAAATCCGACCATAATTAGTTTGGGTTGATTTAACTAAATGAAGTCAAACCGAAACTAAACCAACTTGACCTTACGCTGGTGTTTGGCCATAGATCCCAAATTTGTTTTGAAAAATCTGATTTGAGTGAAGTTTGGTTTGAAGATGAAAATGTGTTTGGACATATGTTTTCAAAACATATTTCACCTTTTTTTTTTGAAAATACATGACTTATACCCACAAGTTCTAAAAATTATTACAAATACCCAACAATACCTTTATCAACAACGTTCATTATATTATCGCAAACCATAGTCTGAACATAAATAAATTTGGTACAAAATTATCTTTTTTAGAATGAACTACATAATACACTATCAGATGACCGAGAAGACGAAGCAGCATTGTTACAAAATAATAAATGGTGGGCTCTTTTATAAAATACAAAAGTTTGAGGCAATTTTTAAAATAATTAATAGTGATATTTTGGGCCAAAACCAGCTCTTGAGATGGTTTAGGGATTTGGGAATTTGCCAAAATGTAGATAATATCTATGGCCAAACATATATTTGCCAAAAACCCAAATATATTTTGGCAAAATCTATGGCCAAACGGGTCCTACATGTATAAAAGTTTTAAATATATTTAATATATAAAAGTAGTTATTGTATTGTAAGTTATAAATATTTCTTAAACTTTTTTATAATCTTATCTTTTAACATATTATTTCAAATTTGGACTTATAATTTTTGAATGCTCCAATAAGTTTTATACTCCATAAATATTAGTAACTCAAATAAAGTCCAAACCAAAATCAAAGCAATTTTGCTAACAAAAGTCATTCAATCGAATTGTACTGGAAATGAAAATATTGTTGGATATCTATTTTTTAGTTTTTTCACGGTTTAGATAAAATGCATAACTTTTTTTAGTGTTTAGTCATGTAAATAATACTTAGTACTTATTAATCGTACTTATTTTAGCAACTTAGTAATTTTATAATATGTTCATTTTTATTATGGCTTATTAATTAATATTTTATGCGATTTTATTATCTTTATTATTGTATAATTAGTACAACGTCATGACTCCTCTCATATTTTATGTTATTCTTGAAAAAATACCTTATATTGTTTGTCTTACTTGGATTAAAGAAATATTTAGAGCACAAATTTTATATTTTTTAATACGAAGACTTTATGAAAAAACCCCGAAAAAAATCTGAAAATCCGACTTTTATTGATTTGGTCTTTAGATTTAATAACCCGACGCAATTGATTTGATTTGGTAATTAAAAAACTCGAACCAACCGACGCATGTACATCCTTACTTCAGACTTAAGGTATGAAATTAAGCTCTGGCAATCGGAAGTTTAAAACTTGATACCTGCGGTCTGAAGCTTGATTCCAAGATGGCTAACATTTAGATACTTTACAATTTTCAGCATTCTTTAGATGGGGGCATTTGCATCTATACCCGCTTTTTGTGTCACGTTTTAACTTGTGCCCGCTTTGCAAAAAAAATTGCAAGCGTACCTGCTTTTTCGCATAACTTCAGCATACAGGGCTGAAGTAGCAAAGGCAATCACGCAAAACTTCAGCATTCTAGTAGCCGGACCTGAAGTTCAGCTCTAGAGCTGAAGTTTTTGTTTTGTAACTGGCGAACTTCAGCTCTAGAGCTGAAGTTTTTGTTTTTGTAACTGGCGAACTTCAGCTCTAGAGCTGAAGTCTTTGTTTGTAACTGAGTTTTTGTTTTTGTAACTGGCGAACTTCAGCTCTAGAGCTGAAGTTTTTATTTTGTAACTGGCGAACTTCAGCTCTAGAGCTGAAGTTTTTGTTTTTGTAACTGGCGAACTTCAGCTCTAGAGCTGAAATTTTTGTTTTGTAACTCGCGATTTGTAACTGGCGAAGAGCTGAAGTTTTTGTTTTTGTAACTGGCGAACTTCAGCTCTAGAGCTAAAGTTTTTATTTTGTAACTGGCGAACTTCAGCTCTAGAGCTGAAGTTTTTGTTTTGTAACTGGCTTATGATTTTCGCTATTTCTGGAAATTTCTTGCTATCAGAAGCAAATCCAACCACTGAGCAAATAGTTTCTACAGCTGAAAACAATGATGATGGAGTGTCAACCATCATATCAGCTCTCCTTTTCGTTGCTTTCGTTGACTTATCCATTCTCACTATAGGGGTAACTAATTATAAGTTTCTTAATTTTTCTTTAATAACTGAAATTATGGTTGTTGTTAATTGTGGATTTTTTTTGTGTGAATACAGGTTATATACATAGCCGTAACAGATTTCTTGCAGAAAAGGGAGAAGGAGAAGTTTGAGAAAGAAGAGGCGGATATAACTTTGAGGAGGAGAAGGAGGAGGAGAAAGGGAGCTGAAGTTGTTTAAAAAGCGGGTACAAGTTAAAAATTTAAAAAAAAAATGGGTATAGGTTAAATGGGGGCGACCAAATAGGATGCCCTGTGCAATTTTTACCTTTAGATGACGGTCTTCCAAGTGGTTATTTATGCACTTTGCCCGATAAAATAGAATTGTTGGATGAATGGGGGCCCATATTTATGATTTGAAGGTTCAATCTTAAGCTAAGTAATAATACGATCTTTAACCCTTAATAGTTAACAATGTGTAAACATTTCCAATGTTTTTGTGCTTCTTTGACGTGCAATGGACAATAACTTCTGAAGTACTGATTAAGGATCGATAGGAAATATATATTTTGAAAATCTTCTGGTGAACTCTAGTTCTCAAGTGTTAACTTTTAGCATTTACTCGTTAGTTTACTTAATCAACCCAAGATAGAGGGTGACTAGTTTCTAGTGATTGACGTACAATTGAAATATACAAAATTATTAGTAGACTTGTGTACGGGTAAAATCGGGGCAGAGTTCCCCCGATTCCCCGATGAGGAAACAAAAGGAAAGCACAACTCGACATGACTACAAGCCAGGCCGAAGGACCCGTCGTATCGGAGCCCGGGAGGAGTGAATGATGCATCTGGGATCGAGCATGGCGAAATAACGGACCCAAACCAAGTAAGATTTTTGGACCACGTGAAACGCGGAGAAGGTTATGCATGGCGAGTAGGGGAGCTGTAATATTTTCCCTCAACCGGGTATTACGGCGCGAAGTATCAACTATGGATCGACATTTATCGTAAAAAGGAGAATTTTACCTTATTTAGACTTGTACTAGGACTGAAATTTCACTACTATATAAAGGGGAAGGTTTCTTTTATTTTGACACATTGTGACGCGCAAATCAAATCAATAAAAGTTAAT